TTTTCTTGTAGCAGTATGCATTTAAGGTTCTTCCATATCTTTTCATAGTTTGATAGCTCATATCTTTTTATCACTGAATAATATTCCATTGTGTGGATGTAACACAGTTTGTTTATCTATTCATGTATTAAAAGGACATTTTGGTTACTTCCAAGTTTTGGCAATTAAGAATAAAGCTGCCACAAACATTTATGTGCAGATTTTTGTGTGGAAATAATTTTTCACCTTATTTGGGTAAATACTTAGGAGTGCAATTGCTGAATCATGTAAGTCCATGTTTAGCTTTGTAAGAAACTGCCAAATTGTCTACCAAAATGTGTGTATCATTTTGCATTCTCGCCAGCAAAGAATGAGAGTTCTTGTTGCTCCATGTACTCACCAGCATGTGGTATTATCTTTGTTTTGGATTTTAGCCATTCCGTAATAATATCTCATTTTAATTTGCAATTCCCTAATGACATATGAGGTTGAGCGTCTTTTGATATGCTTATTTGCTGTCTGCGTGTCTTTTTGGTGAGGTGTCTGTTTTCTCTTCAGACCTTTTTTTAAAAATTTTTTTAATTTTTAAAATTTTTTTTTCCTTTTTGTCTTTTTTCGTGACTGGCAACGGATCGCAACCCTCAGTGTCGCGCCCGTACCGGACCGGGACCGGCAACGGGATCGCAACCCTCGGTGTTGTGCCTGCACCTCGCTCAGCCAGTGAGCGGCTGGTCTGTATGTGGGATCCGAACCCTCGTCGGGAGCGCCGCCCCGCTCCCAAGCAGCGCACTGTAGCAGTGCACCACCGGGCCGGCCCCTCTTCAGACCTTTTGACCAGTTTTTAATTGGGTTGTTTGCTTTCTTTTTTTTACTTTTTTTTGTTTCGTGTGTGTGTGTGTGTATTATTTTTTGTTTTATTGGGCAGCTGGCAGGTATGGGTGGGATCCTAACCCTTGACCTTGGTGTTGTAACACTGTACTCTAACCAACTGAGCTAACTGGCTAGCCAATCTTAATTATTGAGTTTTGAGAGTTCTTTGTATATTTTGGGTAAAATTTCATTACTAGCTGTGTGTTTTCCAAATATTTTCTCCTAGTCTGTGGCTGTCTTTTCATTCTCTAAAGTGTTCATAGAGCAAGAGAGCATGCCTGGGGTCCTATGCAAGGATCTGTGGGCTGCAGCTCCCTCCTCCAACAGAGCACCCCTGGGGTCCTAGGCAAGGAGCTGAGGGCTGCAGCCCCCTCTGCCCAGAAGCAGGCAAGACAGTATGCACAGGATCCTAGGCAAGGAGCCGAGTGTTGTAGCCTCGTCTGCCTGGAAGGAGGCAAGACAGCATGCCCTGGGTCCTAGGCAAGGAGCCGAGGGTTGCAGCTCCCTCTGCCCGGAAGGAGGCAAGACAGCATGCCTGGGGTCCTAGGCAAGGAGCTGAGGGCAGTACACGCCATCCAAAGGCAGGCAAGAAAGCATGCCAAAAACACCACTCCACACAAGTGGCTCACCACAGCCACCACCATAGCCATGGCTGCTGACAAAGAGGCTTCATGTCACAGCACCAGCTACAGCTACCATGCAGGTGTCCCACTGGACACTTGACTGCCTTGACACAAGGAAAGTCAGCAGCAGAGACTGGAAGAAGAGGACGTATTTCTCCTCAAAGCTTGCTCCAGAGTAATAGAAGAAGCAACTGTCCTACCAGATGACCAAACATCAATGTAGAGATACTAGAAATATGAAAACCCAAGAAAATGGTACCACAAAAGGAATACAGTAATTCTCAAATACCAGACCCTGCAGAGCAGGAAAACTTTGAAATGACTGAAAAGGGATTCAGAGCAACAATCTTAAGGAAACTCACTGAGAAGAATCAGGCAACATAGTTAAACAAGAAGAAAAAAATAAGAATACAAAGGAGAAAATTTACAAAGATATCAATACCTTAAAAAAGAATGCAGCAGAACTCATGGAACTGAAGGATTCACTCAACAAAATAGACACAACTGATAACTTAAGAGGCTGGCTAGAACAAGCAGATGAAAGAATTTCTGATCTTGAAGATCTGGTGGACCCAGGTGGACATAAAAGAGGAAAAAAGAATTTTAAAAAATGAAGAAAATCTAAGAGAGCGAGTAGACAACCTTAAATGCACAAGCATTTGAATCATGGGTGTTTCAGAAGTGGAGGAGAAAAGAAAAGGAGTGGAAGAGAAAAGAATACTATATACCTAGCATGGTTATCCTTCAGATATGAGGGGAAAATTGTGCATTTTCCAGACAAACAAAAGTTGCTGGAGTTAAGCACCACATGACCAGCCCTACAAGAAATGCTCAAGGGAATCCTGCATCTGGAATCTGAAAAGTGATAATCACTACCACTAATACGCAAGAAAGAACAAAACCCACTTGTAGAACAAAAATGCATACAAGAAAGAGAAAGAGATTGAATCTTACCATCACAAAAAGGCCATAATGACAATGTTATAATGCCCCTACTTTGTTTCTGATTTTAGTAATTTTGGTCTTCTGTCTTTTCTTGGTCAGTCTAGACATCAAGTTTGAAAATTTTGTTGATATTTTTTAAAGAGTCAACTTTTGGTTTTGTTGATTTAAAAAAAATTTTTTTAATTCCCTATTCTACATATTTCTGTTGTAATCTTTGTTATTTCCTGCTTATATTTGCTTTTGGTTTAGTTTGCTCTACTTGTTCTGTTTTCTTAAGGTAGAAGTTTACATTACTTATTTGAGGTTTTTTGTATTTTTAATATTGGTGTTTATGAGTATAAACTTTTATCTAAGCACTGCATGAGCCCTGCGTCCTACAAATTTTGATGTGTAGTGCTTTGATCTTTATCTCAAGGTACTCTCTAATTTCCCTGTGATTTTTCTTTTTATCAATTGCTTATTTAGGAGAGTGTTGTTTAGTTTCCACACATTTGTGAGTTTTCTAAATTTTCTTCTGTTATTGTGGTCAGGGAACATATTTTCTGTGATCTTAGTCCTTTAAAAAAAAAAAGAAAAATTTAAACAAACAAACAAAGTTCATGGAAAGATTTCCATTATCTTTCAATTCCATTTTTCCATGAACTTTTTGAAGTGTCCTGGTGTTTGTATTCTGTTTTATTGTTTTTTTTTTTTCCCCCTTTTTTTGTCTTTTTTCGTGACTGGCAACGGATCGCAACCCTCAGTGTCGCGCCCGTACCGGACCGGGACCGGCAACGGGATCGCAACCCTCGGTGTCGCGCCTTGCTCAGCCAGTGAGTGGCTGGTCTATATGTGGGACCCGAACCCTCGGCGGGAGCGCCGCCGCACTCCCAAGCGGCACACTGTAGCAGTGCGCCACCGGGCTGGCCCTGTTTTATTGGTTTTTTTAAATGTAATTTGTGTTACTAAACTTAGGCATTTAATTTCTGTTCTTGATTTCTTTTTATTATTTTTTTTTTTCCTTTTTGTCTTTTTTCGTGTCCGGCAACGGACCGCAAACCTCAGTGTCGCGCCCGTACCGGACCGGGACCGGCAACGGGATCGCAACCCTCGGTGTCGCGCCTTGCTCAGCCAGTGAGTGGCTGGTCTATATGTGGGACCCGAACCCTCGGCGGGAGCGCCGCCGCACTCCCAAGCGGCACACTGTAGCAGTGCGCCACCGGGCTGGCCCTGTTTTATTGGTTTTTTTAAATGTAATTTGTGTTACTAAACTTAGGCATTTAATTTCTGTTCTTGATTTCTTTTTATTAAAGGAATCATTTATTTGATTTGCTTAGAAATTAATTTGCCTTTGTAAGGTTCATTCATCTTCCTCTGAAATTAATTTGATATTTTCATGCTTTTGGAAGACTTTAGGGAGCTATTTCAAATAACTGTAGAGATTATAAAATGAAATATGTAAATTTTAATGTTTTACATTTCTAGTTTTTGTGAAAATTAGAAGCCCTACTCTCTACAGAGTATTTTGTTATTCATCTGTTATCCAGTTTATGCATTTGTTATTTGAACATATAAATGTGCATATCCTTGTTAAAAAAAAAATACAGTGTTTACAGAACAGAAGTTTTTAGTTTAATGAAAAGTTCAACTTATCTATTTTTCTTTCATGGATTGTGCTTTTGGTGTTGTGTCTAAAAAGTCATCACTAAACCCAAGGTCACCTAGATCTTATCCTGTGTTTTACAGTTTTTCATTTTGCACATGGTGTGTCATCCATTTTGAGTTAACTGTTGTGAAAGGTTTAAGGTCTGTCTAGATTTTTTTTGCAAGTGGAAGATATTTTTGCAAGTGGATGTCCATTTTAGCACTAACCATTTGTTGAAAAGAACATCCTTTTTCCTTTCAATTGCCTTTGCTCTTTTTTCAAAGATCAGTTGACTGTGTTTGTGTGGGTTTATTTTTGGGCTCTGTTCTGTTTCACTGATTTATTTGTCTGTTCTTTCATCAATACCACACTGTCTTGATCCCCGGTAACTTTAGCAAGTCTTGAATTTGGGTAGTGAGTCCTCTGAGTTTGTTTTTCAAAATCATGTTGGTTGTTCTGGGTCTGTTGTCATTCCTTATAGACTTTAGAATCACTTTGTTGATATCCACAAAATCAATTGCTGGGATTTTGATTGGAATTGCATTGAATCTAGATCAAATTGTGAAAAAGTGACATTTTAAGAATAGTGAGCCTTCATGGACATGGAATATCTCACTATTTAGATGTTTGGTTTCCTTCATCAGCATTTTTTAGTAGTTTATCTCATATAGATCTTGTGTATTATTTTGTTAAGTTTACACCCAAGTATTTTATTTTTTTGTGTGTGCTAATATAGTGTTGCATTTTTAATTTCGTATTCCAATAGTTCATTGCTAATATATGAGAGGGCAGTTGGCCTTTGTATATTAATTTTGTGTCCTGCAGCCTTACTATAATTGCTTATTATTTCCATATATTTATTTTTTATTCTTAATAAAACTAGTTTTATTAAACTATCATTGCTTTAGATATCCTTTTTGAAGAATTTATAATGATATTATTTTATTCTTTCCTTGCAGGGAATGTCTTGGAAAGCATGAGGTGAGTTGTAGGCACAATTTTTAAGTAAAGCTTATAAGCTGTACCTCTTCTATACCAGAGATGTTAGAAGTAACAAAGGCTCATGAAAATCAACTACAATGTATATTGAGAAGTCAAAATTAAAAAAATAAATTAAAAAAAACAACAGTTAAAAAAAAAAAAGCCACAAAGTAAAAGTATTGTTATTTCAGTGGTATAAAGAGTACAAGAGCTTGCCTACTAATTTTAAAAATATACAGTGCTTTTATCTGAGAATTAGCCTGTGGATGTGCATTCACTGTAGAATCATTATATTGAATTTACCTTTTAGGGATAGAAAGTCTTGCTTCTTGGCATCTGGTTTTTTTGGAATTTTTTGATAGGTTATTTTGATTTTGATAACCAACATTATTACTAATGAAAGCATATTAGACTTTGTAAAGTTTGTTTTCAAATGATAGCAGAGTCATTTTGGGAACATGGGTCCAGAATGTTTTCTGTGTATTGTGTGTGTTTTGCTCCCTTTTTTTTTTTTTTTTTTTAAAGGTGAGTCCATTACCGTGCCATGCTATAGGACCCTACTCTTGTAAGAGAGTTTGTGGACGAACCTTAGATTGTCAGAATCATACATGTATGAAAGAATGCCACAAAGTAACTGAAATTGATGGCTGCATTGGCAAAAACAAGGTAATAGCCTTAGGTTGAATGTATATATGCTTACAGTATTCTTGAAACATTTTTTTCAACAATTATACCATAAATATTTTTCCATTTGCTTTAGTTTTTTTCCTCTTTCTTGCCCTCACTCCTTCTCCTTCCTTTCCTTTCCTATGACAATGGACTTTAATGGCTTGGTGTATACTGCTCTGTATCTTTGTGCTTGCTCATGATAATGTGCCTTTTAATGTGGAACTCTTTATGTACTGTACCTGTGTTAATATATAGGGTATGATTTTATAAAAAAAAAATATAGAAAATAGGTATCTTCTTAGATAGCAGGTAGCAATATCATCTCTACTTCTTTCCATTCGTATCTCTGAGTTTAGTCTAGAGAATTTGCTCTCAGCTATTTTTCAAACATGACACATGATAGATGATATTCACAATTTTAATAAATTCCCAATCTTTTATTGGGAAGGAAGGAGCATCACAGATGTGCAATGTGTGTATGTGTGTGTAATTCACTAAAGGCATTTTATGAGCATATGAGAAATCAACTGTTCAAATATCTTTAAAAATTGCCATTTTGCAAGGATGAACAAATGTAGCTAATCAAATTTTAAATAATATTAAACTTTATTTTTAAAATAATGTTTTTTTCTAGACTTTCATTCATAGGGAATCCTAATATATTAGCAAGTATCTTAATGAGAAATAAGCCAGAAATTTTAACCTTCACTTTTTCATTAAGTAACATTAAATTTATATATGCTTAAATTACTAATATGAATTATGTTACTAAAATTTTAACTTGCATTTTTAGTGACTTTTTTCTTTGATTTAGTAATTGTAATGCATGTCAACATAAGTACTGATAGTATCATTCTTGTTTATGTGCAAACATGAAGGTGCTTCAAAAAGTTTGTGGAAAAATAGAATTGAAAGGTAATACAAATCTTTCATTGAACATTTTGAAGTACTCTTGTACATGTAAATGTATTGCTTATAATTTCTTCATCAATCTATACCTTGATTCTCAGTAGAAATTCATGATAAAATGAAAATGATTTGGAATTATAAAATTAAACTAACAAATAATGATAATGATTTAAAGTCCTTTTAACTAGTTAGAGTATATCTGCCTAATGGCTTTCTTCCTGTTGATTTTCAGAACATCAAATGAGTCTGAAAAAACTCATTTTCAAAGCTGTTATGACTGATTAGGGAATTATTGTGGATTATCTCTACATTGCTCCCTGGGTTAAAACTTCTATTTTTCTTTTTTAATGAGAACTGCGTAAGATATTACAGCCAGACTTACTGTATTTCCTAATTAAGATAGTTTTTCCTAGAAGATAATAGTTGATATTGGAAGTGATCCAGGAAGATATTGTAGCAAGTGTAGATTCAGTGATTTTTTTTTTCCCCCATAACTGGAAGGAACCTTATGTTATCAGTGTAATTCTTGTTTTGCAGATAGGGAAACTGAAGCTTAATATTGTCAAGTTATTTGTCCATGATCATGTAAGAAGACAGTAGCAAATCAGAAAGTAGTATCCCTGATCTCTTAACTCCCAGCTTAGTATGTTCTTCTACTCATATTATTTAAATACAAGGTTATTGCAGGTGTACCAATAGCTAGGAAGAGCAAATGAAATAGATTATGTGTGTTAACTTTGGTTCTAGTTGCATATTTTGTGATTCATTGCCTATCCTTCCCCCCAGTCTTTCCCATTGCAGAGATTCAAAGCTATATTACCATTTTTACCCAGCTGCACAGATGAAAGACATAGGAATCATGCTGGATTTCTTTCTTACCTTCATTATTTTGTCCCATAGAAAATCCTCTTAGGTTTATCTTCAAACTAGATCTTGAATCTGATCATTTCTCATAACCTCTACCCTAAACATGCTCACTAAGCCACCATTGCCTCTTATTTAGATTTCTGCAATATTTTCCCAACCAACCTTTCTGTTCCCACTTAGGTTTTACTATATTACCAGATTCATCTTTTAAAAAATGTAAAACAGGTGTTACCTCCCCACTCAATGCCCTTTGGTAGCTGTCAGTCACACTCAGATTAAAATCCAGAGGCCTTATGATGGCATGTAAGGCTCTATGATGATCTAATTCCTGACTGCCTTACCTACCTTTCATCTGACTACTCATCACTCTATTGCTTGCTTGCTTCTGCTTTTGTTCTTGCTGTTTCTTGAACATTCCACATTTGTTCTTACCTCAGAGCCTTCACGATTATTATTTCTTTTCTCTGGAACTCTCCATTCTTGTGGCTGTCTCCCCATTTATCTCAATTTCTTTTCAGACATGCACTTTATCAGTCTTTCTTCTTGTTACCGTCACTCTCTCTTATCCTACTTTATCTTTCTTTTGAGTACTTAAAAAGGCATTATATTATGTTCTTTACCTCCCCACTTAAATGTAAGTTCCAGGGATCTGTCCCATCCGTTCTGCCTGTGTCAATGCCTGGCACATAAATGCTGAATAAGTATTTGTGGAATAAATGAATATACTTTTTAAAATCTAAAAGAATAGAAATTAGGGCTGGCCCGTGGCTCACTTGGGAGAGTGTGGTGCTGATAACACTAAGGCTACGGGTTCAGATCCCCTTACCGATCATCTTTAAAAAAAAAAAAAGAAAGAAAAAGAAATTATTTATAGAAGAACATTTTTATGACTTTGAAACACTTTTTAATCCTAAATGTCAAAAAAATAGCTTAGAATTTCATTGAGAATAATTACTGTACTTATAGCTGTATTTAGGAATGATAATAAAAATGTTTAATCTTTAAGACTTAGTGTCCATGTCAATAGATCCCTGACCTATTTTATCTTAAGCATAAATGTGAAAACAAACAGTATCCTGCAATAAAAATCTTTAACCTTCTTTAGTAGATTCTAATACTGGTTACATCATTAAATTACTAGAGCAGAGAGAGGTGCCTTTTTAAGTTATATTGAGGTACATTTATTTGTAAACGTAATTTCACTTTAGTTCGTTATTCAGAAATAAACTACTGATCATTCTCCTTTTTCACTCTATATGTGTTTCTCTCTCTTTTTTTTTTTTTTCCTTTTTGTCTTTTTTCGTGTCCGGCAACGGATCGCAACCCTCAGTGTCGCGCCCGTACCTGACCGGGACCGGCAACGGGATCGCAACCCTCGGTGTTGCGCCCGCACCTCGCTCAGCCAGTGAGCGGGAACCGGTCTGTATGTGGGATCCGAACCCTCGGCAGGAGCGCCGTCGCGCTCCCAAGCGGCGCACTGTAGCAGTGCGCCACCGGACCAGCCCTATATGTGTTTCTCTTTGGCAAAATGACATAAATATCTCCAGAACGTTGAGTGCTTTGGAATTTTTATTTATGTATTAACAGTGTGTTGTTTTCTTCAGTTTAATGAGGATTGTGCTTGTTGGATGGAAATTGTTAGTATTTTACTCTCTATAATCTTTTCTACCACTAACTATTCTTTAGGAGCTAATTTACATTTTTAGTAGGGATACTTCATGTAGTAAAGTTCATTTTAAAGGTGAAGCAGTTTGATTTAATGACGCTCATGGGCATAAAAATCTATATGAATAATGGTCATACTGACAGTCTTGTTATTCTTCATTTTGAATATTTTTAAGATGAATGACAGCATGTACCATTTTATTAACTGCATTTCTAAGAGCTATAGAAGTACTTTATTTTACTGAGATGTGTAAATTTTATAAGTTTAATGTATAGAAATGTTAAACTTCTGTACTTAGGTGGTTTATTTCCTTGGTGTTTTTCAGGCTGGCCCAGAATGCCTTCATTGTGAAGAAGGGTGCTCTAAATCACGGCCACTGGGTTGTCCTCATCCATGTGTTTTGCCATGTCACCCTGGAGAATGTCCACCTTGTGTTCAGATGCTTAGAATAAAATGTCACTGCAAGATCACAAGCTTATATGTTGAATGTAGGTAAGTGGACTGAAGAAATATTCTTGTTTTACTAAAGTTATTTGAATTTTTAAAAAAAATAATTCAGGACCTTTCATACTTTACTATAAGGAATGTTGTTTAGTTGTGTTCCTTAGATTCTAGAGGCCTAGATCTTTCCATAGAGACCAGGAAGGAAGAAATGTAGAATACTCCACCTCCTAGATATTTTACTCTGATTTAAACCAGGGAAATTCTAGTTCTCTTACATTTCATTTGGCAATTCTGTGTAAGATTTTGTTGGAAAAAAATTGTATCATTGCTTTTTTTAAAAAAATGAGAGAAAAACTCCTATAACAGATTGTTCAAATAATTGTGTCAAACTAGAATTTCATTCTGTCAAAATTTGACTTGTACATAAAAGATTTCCTTCTTAAATTCAATCAGCCTTTGTTCATTTCTTCTTCTTTTTTCTTCCCTGTTTATGTTCTTAGGTTTTGATTTTATGATTTGTGGTGGTGGCGTGTTGAAGGTTTCCATGACCATGCTCGCATTTGGTAATTTGCTGGGAAAACTCACAGGATTTCAGCATATAGTTACACTCACAGCTATGAGTTATTAGAGCAAACAGATACAAAGCACATTCAGCAAAGAGAAAAGGCACATGGACTGAAGTCCTGGAGAAACCAGGCACAAACTTCCAAAGTCTTCTCCCAGTGGAATCACTTGGGATGTACTTAATTCTCCCAGCACTCTCTCAGCACTGAGTTGTGATGATGCTTGTAAAATACTGCCAACCAGAGAAGTTCATTAGAGACTCAGCACCCAGGGTGTTTATTGGTAGCAGATCATATAGGCAGTCTGCCTAGCATGTACCAAAGTCCCAGGTTCCAGAAGGAAAGCAGCCAATCAGCATGAACATTGGTTTGTGTAAACAGTTTAGGCATAGTTAGCTGCTTTTATCAGTTCTGGGAATGATAGGAACCCTCCCAGAGTCCAGGTTCCCAGGTATCAGCCAAGAGCCAGTCTTATAAGGAGGCCTTGTTGACTCTTTCCTTTTCCTCCAAATGCTTCTTTGGTGATATTTAATTCAGTTTAGAATGTTTGTGTTCCAGTTTTCATCTTCTTTGTAATTCATTTTTGGGTGGGGAATAGGAACGGATTTTCATCAGCTGAAATCATTTTCTATTTTCTGTAGTAGTTTTTTCTACATATCCATTATGTCTCTTTATTTTTGTGGACAGAGCTAGAGGTTTTGCATTGTTTACAAGATTTCTAGATGATCGCTGCCTTCTGTCACTGTAGCAAAATATAATTTTTTTAATGGTTGGCTTTTTAGAGTGGTGTTGGGAAGAGGAGTTATGCGTCTTTCTTTTGCTTTGGTTTTCTTTGATCTTGCAGGATCCTAAATTTCCTTTCTTTTCCTAGGTTTCCAAAAGGTGCTTTTCCTTTTTGCCTTCTTCATCCTAGAGTGTTGTCTTTCCAAGATTTCTTACTTGAATTGTGTGCACTTTTCAAAGTTCATTCCCTTTAGTGCACTCATCTACCAGGATTTTTTAAAAAAATATTTTTACACTTCGGTGTACTTTCTTTTTCTGGTGTGATTTTAGCTGTCTCCTCTTTTCTGTTCAGTTTTCCAGAACTCCTCTAGCTCTCTGAAAAGACTGGCATTGGGAGTTTGAAAAATAGTTCTACTAAGAAGTGGTATTTATTTTGCTACTATGGGTAATTTGGGGTTTGTAGAAACCCCTAGTTATCTCCTAGTTAATGCTGGGGTCATAGGATTTATTTTCTTTGTCATTAATGAGATGTATGGTTTTTTGGGGGAATGTGTGGATAATTTGGATTGAGGTGGCTTCCATTACCTTAGAACTCCAGAAATTCTTTTCTTTTCTTAAATGCATGTTAATGTGTATGTTTTTATATAGAATTCTTTATTCTCAGTATGAGGGTACTTCAAAAAGTTGATGGAAAGATTCGTATTATCTTTCAGTTCTATTTTTCCATGAACTTTTTGAAGTACCCTCGTGTTTGTAAAACATGAAAGTAAAATTTCATTTACTTTCAATTCAGTGAATTATTTTGAGTCATCTTTTCCTTTCAGTCTCTTTCTGCTGTGTAAATTCTATAGAAATTGGATGTGAAACAGGCATTGAAAAGTTAGTTTATTTCTAATCAGAGTAACAAGAACAAAATGATATTAACTTTTAAGTTCAGAAGTGAATACCCTACTTGCAAGAATTAAAAATATGCAACAATTTTTAATAGAGCCAGCATAAAAACTTTGCCAAGAAAATTGAAATGCTACTTTAGAGTACGTTTATAGTTAATTTAATATATATTTAAGATAACAGTTTTATTAACATTAGTGGGGCTAAACATGTATTTTGGCAGTTAGTCTGGTTATGAAGAATAGGAAAAGCAAGAAAAGAAAGGATATAGGAAAGGAGAAGAAAAGTAATGGGGAAGAGAAAAGTGAGACACATAGATAGGAAGTTTTAGATTGTCACTAATTACTGACACATGCAGTGTCTATTGGATTCTGTTCAATTATCCATTAGAAAGTAGGTTTATTCCTTTGTGTCTGTGACTTTTTTCTGAATTAACCTCTGAGTCAGATATAAAAGCACGGACAGGTCTAAAATGATCAGATCTACAATGAATTAATTTCTAACATCAATAGATAGCCAACCCCCAAACAACCAAGCTTTTTAAATAAGCTTACTGCACTTCTCACTGAATTGCCTAAATTCTTCAATTTGAAGTAACATGTTAAATCACTAGTTTTAATTTTTTTATGTGGATGCATTAAGAATATGAATTATAATGATCTATGAGAAAAGATAGTAGCTGGAACTATTAAAAAGAGCCCAGGCACAGTTGTTATTTTGTGTGCATTTTATACTTCCATCTTAACAGTGATTATCCTTTTGGTATTTGACTTGTTGGTAGTAGATAAAGGACTGGATGGTTTGTTATCAGAACAGTAAAGTAATTTGGAGATAATTGTTACAGATAGAGAAATAAGAAATAAGATAATCTTATGGACATGTTTAAAATTGTGAATTATTTTTAGAAAAATTTGAATGTCATCAAAACTTTCTCTCCTACTTTTAGAAAAATAACTACAGCTGATGTAAATGAAAAGAACCTCCTCAGTTGTTGCAGAAATCAGTGCCCTAAAGAGGTAAGCTTTAATATAGGACCATTTAAGTTTTGTTCCTTGGGTATAATTTCTCTTGGATTTTTTTTTTTTTCTTGTTTGGTTGTCTTATTTTAGGTCTTTTCTGGACCCACTAGAAGTGTGGGTTGTTAAAGGAAAATATGATTGATGTCTATAAAAATGTAACACATAGTTATGGTAGATGCACATCTCTTTATGAAATTTGGGGATATTAGGACTAGGAAAGACCCTTTGAAGATTTTTTTCTTTAAGAAAGCAATTGTAAAGATAGCTTAAATACTTTATATAATAGAGTATTGACCTAGTGCTTACCCTCCAAAATGTGATTCAGACTTAAAATATAAATAAGAACTGTGTGGGCTGTTAGACAGTAAATTCCATAGTAGGTTATTTTAAAAAATAGGTGTGTGTGTATGTGTGCATGCTTGTGTATGCATCTGTGGTATTAGCATAGTGTAGGATAGACATTCACATCCACAGCATTTTGAAGATAGTATCTTAGAAGATACCTCTGTATATTTTCATTATGGCCTTTAGTGCTGGTGTCATTCAGATAATTAATCTTTAAAGTTAATTATTATATTAAATTAGTATAAAGTATTCATATGTAAAGTTGTGTTTTTAAAGATTTAGATGCTTAAGTATTGCATCAAAAGTGTTTTGAAAAAATTGTTCAGGGTAAAAAGGTAAAACTTTACTAGTGATTTATCCTGGCAATAATTTGAGAAACCAAAGTAGTCCATCTACATTTGGCTAATTGGAACGGGAACGTGCTTCTTTTTTTGTTGTTTAGAGTGGGACAGTGACAATTATTTGATTTGAATCGACATTTAAAGAGGAGTCCTTTAGACTTACAGATGTACTAAATAGTACCTCTTATCTTTAAATTCTTTGTTTTTATGAGTGTTTCTCATCCTATTTATAGTCAGAGATGACAGCTAAGTTGTAAATACAGTAGTCAGTCTTTTATTGAATATAAAGCAAGAATCAATGCTTTATATGCCTTTTTGTTAATATTTCCTTTTTAAAGCTTTGGACCAGTTTTTAATGGATTTCTGTTTATTTCAAGAACTGTTAGGAATTGAACCCGAGAGTTTTACAATTTATGTAAGATCATAAAAAGACCATTTGAAGCAATAAATGATTATTTAAATAATCCTGTCTTTGTTATATAAATGCAACTAGGGGTATGGGATATTTCAAATTTAATTTTTTGAATTCTTCAAATCTTGAATTTTCCCTTGTTAAGGTAAGTTTTCTTCCATTCCAATTCAGATTCCAGGTAATAAACATTTGAGAATATTTTATTTAATCTGACTCAGTAACTTGGTATGGTTTTATAGTTAGAAATATGATAACTTAATTCAGGGGTTGCTGATTTGCAGTTTAGCATTGTTTTAACTATGATTAAGTTTTTTGTTTGTTTTTGATGGCAGGCCAGGATAGGATTGAAAACTGGACCTTGGTTAATAGCACCATGCTCTAACCAACTGAGCTAACTGGCCAACTTGCTATGATTAAATTGTGATGCTGTTATGACATTTGATAGGACTAGATGAGTGGGTACTGTTTATTTAAAAAATTGGTATCCGTTTTCATGATTTTGGATTTTATATCATTCTGGATTCCCTGTATTGCTAGGATTTCCTTGTGCTTTCTTGAAAAATATGTTCATAGGTTGGGAGCAGTGCAAATGGTAGTTATAGTTTGGAATATAGTTTGGAATCTAGGAGTGGACAGGTGAATTTTAGTGTCTCTAGTAGAACTTATTTTGGTTTATGTCCTCTTGACATTGGTGATGCTACAGCAGCAATTCTCAAACTTTAGTATGCATGAGAATCACTTCATGGGCTTGCTAAAACACAGACCATTGGGCTCCACTCTGGAGTTTCTGATTTTGTAGGCTTGAAGTTGGGCCCCAGATTTTCATTTTTAATAAGCTCTTAAGTAATGGTGATAATGTTTGTTTATGAGCATGCTTTGAGAACCCCTGAGCTACAGAATCAAATCATAATTAGGATCAACCAAGAAGTATGTCACTTTGAATCTGGAGGAGGTATCTTGTACTCAAAGTTAAGGTATAGGATTTTGATAAATTCTGATATACTGACAAATTCTTATTTATTTTCTCCTATAGTAGAGTTGTTGTGGGCGGGGATTATGTCATATTTGTCTTTGTATCCAGTGTCTAGTTCCCTGATTGTACACAATTAGGCTGTTGGTAAATGTTTATTGAATGTGAATGAAAGAATGAATTGTGGGAATGGCATAAACATATCCAGCTCCACTGCTTCTTTGATATACACTTCATGTGTCTTCTGGACTGTGTTAATTAGGTTTGAATTTAACTAAATGAAAATATAAAGATGCCATAACTGCACCTTTCAACTATGCCCCATATACATATTCTACTTTTCTTTTTTAGGAGATATAAAAGAGGAACCAAATAGAAGTTTTGTTTATTTATATTATTTAATATGGTACAGGGCTGAAATTATTTTATTTTTTTAATTTTTAATTGACAAATTGTATATTCTTGTACAGCATATTTGGAAATATGTATAATTGTGGAATGACTAAATGGAGCTAATATGTGCATTACCTCACATTTATTTTTTGTAGTGAGAACACTTAAAATCTACTCTCAGCAGTTTTCAGGGATACAATATATTGTTACTAACTGTAGCACCGTGTTATACAATAGATTTCTTGCTTATTCCTTCTGTCTTAACTGAAATTTTGTATCTTTTGACCAATATTTCCCCAACCTCCCTTCTCTCCTCCCCCCACCCTGGTAGACACCATTCTACTCTACTTCTATGAGTTCAGCTTTTTATAGAGTCCACGTATAAAGGAGATCATGCGATATTTCTACTTTTATAAATTATTTCTGAATCTAGTGTTATTCCCACATAAACTTTTCTACTTTTTACTTGGGCAAATTAATTACCTTTCTGTAACTCAGATTGTTCATATATAAAATGGGGCAATAATAATACCCACTTCAGAGTGCTATTAAATTAAATGAGGTAATAATATGTAAAGGTCCTAGTCCATGGTAAATGCTGTATATGTGCTAGCTATGCTAATGATGGTATGGGTATTTATCCACAAAGAATACTGTTTTGCAAGCTTCTCTTAATTCTTTTGAAAGAAAGCTTTTCTTATTATTGAGATTAAAGTGGAATATTTTGATTTAGACAGTATTGGTTATGGTAAACCATCTGCTGTGACTTACTGAAGTGATAGCAGAAGGTTGTTTAGGGCTGAATAGAGTAGAAGACACTTTGAAAGGGTAGGACATCTCATTTTTGAATGAAAACCAGGAATGGATGTTTTAGAAAAACTTCTAGTTTTTGCTGTGAAATCTGTAATGAAGGTAGAGTCATTATATATTACTCATTCTAATCAGCTTTCTTTGTAACTACTTTTCAGTTCTTTCAGAATGTAACCTGGGTTTTGAGATAACACATAATTTTCACATCTAACAGGGACATGGTCATGTGATTTGATTTTTTTAAACAATGAATTTATACTGAAAAGTACATAACACATGTATGTATAGTTTAAGAAGTAGTTAAAAGGTGAATACTACATAACTTCACCCAGATCAAAAATAAAGTTTTGTTGTCATCTCAGAAATCTAAAACACAGACCATTGGGAACTGTCTGACTGCAGTTCCCTCTCTCTGTCCTGTGTGTTCTTATATATGTTTGTCATTTTTATTTCATGTAACTGTAGTCTATTTATTCCATCATATGAATACACCGTAGTTTATTTGTTTTACTGTGGGTAGACATTTGGATTCTTTCCACTTCAGATTGTTATCAAAAATACTGCTGTGAACATTCTTGCTTGTGCATCCTGGAGCATGTGTGCACACATTTTTGTAAGCATGTAGTAGTGCAATTGCTTAATCATAGGGAATGTATAATTTCACCTTTAACAAATAATGTCAGTTTGATTTCCAACATGGTTGTACCAATTTATAATTAGTAAATTTTCCAATTATGGAAAATTATTAGACTGTAAATTGGTGTAGCCATTATGGAAAATGGTATGGAGATTCCTTAAACAACTTCAGATAGAACCGCCATACAATCCAGCAATTCCACTGCTGGGTATATACCCAAGGGAATGGAAAGCATCATGTCAAAGAGATACCTGTGCCCCCATGTTTATTGCAGCTGTCTTTACAGTAGTCAAGAGTTGGAACCAACCTAAATGTCCCTTGTTGGACAGCTGGGTAAGAAAAATGTGGTATACACAATGGAATATTACTCAGCTGTAAAAAAGAATGAAATATTGCCATTTGTGGCAACATGGATGAACTTAGAGAAAATTATATTAAGTGAAATAAGCCAGGCACAGAAAGAAATACCGTATGTTTTCAATCATAAGTGGGAAATAAACATATAAATAAAAGAAAGAAAGATACAACATTCACAATAATAATACATTGAACTTTCAAAAAACTTCTAGAACTGAGGTTGCTGGAAGTAGGAAGGGGTGGGGGAAAATGGGTAAAGGAGATAAATGGGTAAAGGGTGACGAATAGCAGTGATAGTGTATATTACTGAATATAATAATTATTTTGATGTGAGCATCACATATGGCATACGAGCATTGCTGTTCAACTCTGTATCCCACAGATACGTACAATCAAAAAAAAAAAATTATTAGAAAGTTTCCCAACTTGCAGTTTATGAAAATTCCTATTGTTTCACATCCTTGTCAATACTTGGCATTTTAAAAAAAATTTTACCGGTCTTTTTGCATCTTGTTATGTTTTTAATTTACATTTCCCTGATTACTAGTGAATTTGAATACCTTTCAGGATTAGTGATGTTACCTGTGGGACATATGTTGGATACCAGCACAGTGTGCTTCAGGACATATTTCAGTTCTTCTAGTTGCAAGCTGCAAAATCAATTGTGGCTAACTTATGGCAAAAAGAAGATATATGCAGGTACTCCAAAAAGTTCATGGAAAAATGGAATTAAAAGATAATTTGAATCTTTCCATGAGCTTTTTGAAGACCCCTTGTATTTGGAGGATATTAGAGAACAGTTCACAGATTCTGAAGGAAATGCCATATAGCCAAGCTTTGGGAAGGGTAGGATCTGTGCAGCCCCACGGGGCTTGGTATCAGGGGGCTTTGTAATAACATGACTTTTCAAGCCACCATCTCTACCTTTCAAGTTTTCAGATTTCCAGGAGAGAAAATCTGATCGGCTCATCTTGAGTCTAGGGGCTCCTCTTGGCGCAGGCAGCCACAGACAGGGAGCTGGAACAGGTAGCAAGCATAGCCATGGCTGTGGCTAAAGGAGGTGTGTTACTGCGCTCCATGTATTCATCTAGGGATCCACATTAGATGGGCAGTTCTGCTCTCTTTAACACATGGTTTTCATCATTGCTCCAGATTTCATCATTTCCACCACACGGGGAAGTGTATGGAAATACAGTCTTAAATGCTTTAAGGCACAAATCACTTACACTTGCTTATGTTCCATAGGCCAAAACTTAGTCACATGGCCATACCTAGCTACAAGGTTAGTTGTAAGTTAAACTCTTGGAGTGGAGCTGGGGAGAATATTTAAAATGTCTGTGTAATTAAAGTAATTTATGTCTAAAAGAAAAAAGTTGAGAAATTAGCCCATAGCCAGGATTGATTGACCCTGGGGAAATTGCGGTAAACCATGCACCATCCCAATTAATGTCTTCTACAACTTCTACCTGTACTGCATGTGGAAAGACAAGGAGATTCATGGAGTAGTAGTTAGATGAGATGGCAGGGTCAAATGAAGGATTTAGAGAAAAGAGATTATATATGTTGAAGGCAGAAGACCCAGCCATGGAAAAGAGAGACTGTCAAGATGTCAGTGAAATTGTGAAGAATATGATGTCTTTTTGGAGGCAGAATGATATAACATCAAGATCAATGATTTTTAACCTTTCATCAACCTCCAACCCATTGGAGTAATAGAACACTGACCAGTCAAAGACAACATAGACATGACTTTATGTCATTTCAAAAAGATTTTCATTTATTGATTCTGATATGCTTCCCTATTCTCTTTCCCCTTTAGAATCATTGATTTAAAGTTCAAGTAGTGTGGTTAGTTACTTTTAGAGAAGATGACTGATGTAATTACCTCAGAGATTAAGGAAAGAACAGAGGACATAGAGACATTTTGAGGGGAAGAGAGAATAGGTAATGAGCTAATGGGAAATGTTTGTCTTCTTTATGAAGTCAGACTAAACTGACAGGAATGAAGGTGAGAGTCAAGTTAAGGAATATGAAGGCTTGAAACAACCACTGTGTAGCAAGTATTTGATAATAAATAACTATCGAGCTTGTTAAGCAGTGTTCAGAGCCTAGTGTTGTCTGTAGGGAAAAACAAAACCAAAATGTCCAGGAATGCCTTGTGTAGAATTCATTCTAGCAGTACTCTGCCCTATGGTATAAGTAGTGGAAATGCACAGTGTGAGTGATCCAAATTTAGTTTTAGTATGAATGAATGCCTCAGCTAAATATTAAAGAACAAACCTAGTTGCACACTAGAGAAACAAAAGACAATGGAAAAGGACTCTGAATTTCTTAAAGTTGATGGAGTCAGTAGTTTGAAAGATCAGTCTGATGAATCAGAGAAATCAGAAATTGGAGAATTTAAATGTTTATTGAGGTGCTCACTGTTTGTAATGTATAATTGTTAGGGATTAAAGGATGAGAGACACAGAAATGTAAGACGATTGTCCTCAACTAACTTATTACTATAACTTTTATTCTGATAGCTAAATATATTGAACACATTTAATCTTCACAACAGCTTTATAAAGTACTATTACTTCTCACAGGTTTACATGTGAGGGATAGAAAAGTCAGGTGACTTGCCTAAGGTCCCATAGTTAGTAAACAAAGAATTTGGGATTCAGTTTCAAGGAGTATGACTTTGGTATTTAACCCCTAAAAATAGTATATTTTATTTACATTCATTAAGTAATGTCACAACAGTTTAGAAGTAGATTTATATAACTACTTAATTTATTACAAAACTTACATAGCTACTCTTATTTATTTAGGTGTAGGCAAACTCATATCAGGCCTTTATGGTGATTTAAGCCATGTCTTGAAGTGTGGATAAGCTTTGAATAGGCAGGGGAGAGAGCATTTTATTTGAAAGCTTGACTTGACTGGGATAGGAAGATAGACAAGGAGCACATAGACATCATGGCAATTACTGAGTTGTTCTGGCTACCTAAATAATGTGTTTTAATATGTATGTAGTGGCAAGGATAAATGTTTTAGAGTAAAAGGCTAAGCAGTTGTAACAATACAGTGGCTTAAGGACAAGGAAGTTTTCTTTCTCACATGACAGTATAAGGAAAGGAGGTGTGTTACTGCGCTCCATGTATTCATCTAGGGATCCACATTAGATGGGCAGTTCTGCTCTCTTTAACACATGGTTTTCATCATTGCTCCAGATTTCATCATTTCCACCACACGGGGAAGTGTATGGAAATACAGTCTTAAATGCTTTAAGGCACAAATCACTTACACTTGCTTATGTTCCATAGGCCAAAACTTAGTCACATGGCCATACCTAGCTACAAGGTTAGTTGTAAGTTAAACTCTTGGAGTGGAGCTGGGGAGAATATTTAAAATGTCTGTGTAATTAAAGTAATTTATGTCTAAAAGAAAAAAGTTGAGAAATTAGCCCATAGCCAGGATTGATTGACCCTGGGGAAATTGCGGTAAACCATGCACCATCCCAATTAATGTCTTCTACAACTTCTACCTGTACTGCATGTGGAAAGACAAGGAGATTCATGGAGTAGTAGTTAGATGAGATGGCAGGGTCAAATGAAGGATTTAGAGAAAAGAGATTATATATGTTGAAGGCAGAAGACCCAGCCATGGAAAAGAGAGACTGTCAAGATGTCAGTGAAATTGTGAAGAACTACATGTGATGGACTCTTTCTTAAAATAGTTACTGGAGTGTGGGGGGAGGTGGAGGATGATGAGAATGTGATTGCAATTATTTTGGTTTTATTTTAGCTTCCTTGTGGTCATAGATGTAAAGAGATGTGTCATCCTGGTGAATGTCCTTTTAATTGCAACCAGAAGGTAAAACTTAGATGTCCTTGTAAAAGAATAAAAAAGGTAAATATTTTAAGGTATTGAAAATACTTTTCTGTGTAAGTTGTTCTTGTTTTGTGTTGTGTTGTTTTTTTGGTCTGTATGTTTTGGTAGTTCTTTGGCTTTATTTTTTGCCTTCTAATTTTAAGATATTATTTCTTAGAATCTTTTTATTATTACTAAAATGTGCCTATTTCTGTAAATGCTTGTTTTAAAAATCAGCTCTGGCAATTTACTTTTCTGTAATTCAGTAGTAGAAGAGGGACTGTTTTATGTTGGAATGAAGCACAATGCCCTTTTTTGGATAGAATCAATGTGCTCTAAATTTGAGGTCTTTGAACAAGGAACACAATGTGAGTGATTAAGAAATGTTCTGGAATTAACCTCTCTCTGTTGCTGTTATTTATGAAACTTTTTTTTGGTCATCAATATTGTCCTTTGAAAATGTTGCCTTAAAAAAACCTCATATGCACAGCCTTATAAAAATAAAATTACATTCAAACTTGGAAAGAATTAATTTTAAGATAAAATAATGGTAATGGAGAAGTAAATGGGCAAAAACGAATGATTGGCAGGCCAAGTGGAAATAAACTACATACTGTTCAACAAAATTATGAAGGAAAAAGAGATAGTAGCCTAATAGTATTTTTTCAATTCCCATTTTCCTTGACTTCCCCTTTGGCGATGTTGACTCCTTTGAAACTTCGTTCTTCTTGACCACTGATTTACCCTATCTCAGTTATAGTTATAACTACATTTTTCTTCATATTTCTATGGTCATTCTCAAAAGCTAGTCTTTTCTTCTCTTTAAATTCACTCTTTTATTCATCAAGGCAACAAATATTTATTGAGGATCCTTTTTTAGGTCCTTGCTTTTTATTTATTTTCATTGCTCCTGGTATATTTTCCTGCGATAAGTAAATTTTAAATTTGTAGGCCTGAACCTCTTAGGGAGTGGAATCTGTAAGTTTTAGACATTTAAGTTGACCACCTTTCATGAAAACCAATACTTAGCCACTTTTAATCTGAGATACATCTTAAGTTTTCTCTGAAATCTCATGTTTTGTCCAAGTGCAGTTTGCCACCTATTAGTACTTTAGGACCGCTCTTTCCTGGGCTTTGGCAACAACTTTATAACTAATTTCCTTGCCTCTAGTCATCCTACTTTGCTGAGCTGAATTTTTGAGTGCTTCTTTATCAATTATGAAAAAATGCATTTTATAAGAAATGTGTATGCATATGTATATGTGGACAGTATACAAGGTAATCTATGATATGACCTTTGCCTGCTCATCCAGTCTTATTATCTAGCAGTCTCTTCTGTGAATCTGTTACTTAAGTAACCCACCATATATGGTATATTCCACCTTATTCTGTGGCAATTTATGTATTTCTTCTGTGTAAAATACAGTGTTTTTTCCCTTTACCTCTCTGCTTACTAGAATACTCAGTGCAAGCACTTCATTTGTGAAGGTCTTCTTTCTCCTGACTCCCTTGGGAAGACTTAGGTGCTCCTTCCTTTTGGCTTTCTTTGTACTAGGTTCATAACTTAGAGCTTTTTGATTCTAGGAATATTTGTAAACTTGTTTCTTCATCTGTAAAATAAAGTTTATACATAGATTTATTCAAAGAAATAAAAGAGGTGATGCTTATATAGCACAATGATTGTGATGTTTAATAAGTTGTAACTGTTATTACTATCGTTATTGTTTAGCACTTAGTAGATTATTGTACTCTTTTCCTTATTGTGTTCCCTGTCCCTGTCACAATGCTAGGCATGTAACAGGCACTTTATAAGTACCTTTTGAATGAGAAAAGACATAATCCTCCTTCTAGGCTGATAGACTTACTGTCTGCAGTGTCTTATTTTTGTCTCCAGTGTTTGTTAATATTAATTATCCTTTGTCTGGACTATCCTTGGAAAACAAGACTATGTTTATCACCAACTTTAGCCCAAAATGAAGAACTTAGGGGGAAAATACCCCTCTAAGTATCAAAATTCCGTGCCATATAAAGTGCTTTCACTAAAGGATATGTACATATTTACTCATAGGATTTGGTGATCTTGTTTCTAAACTGTGGTAGATTTGAACTAAAAAACTCGAGTTTGAGGGTGTGGTGAGAACGGAGAAACTAATACAAATAGGTACACTTACAGCAAAAGTGACATTGGCAGCAAGAAATAGGGAATGAGTAAAAGGTAGAAAAAAGAACTACAAAAGCAGAGTCTAGGATTATTTAATATAAGGACCACTGTTCTTTTCAACTCAGTAGTCCATTATTTTATTATAGCATAGTACAAAATTGATTATAGTATGGATGTCACGTCATCAAAAAAGGAGAGTAGATTAGTGTTCTGTCAGTTTAAGGAGGCTGTGAAGTGCAAACATAAGCTTTAGAATGATTTTCATCTAAACTTAAAAAAGGTTTAATAGTTGAGAGAAAAATTTGTAGCTCTCCAGAAAACTTTCTAGAGCTATACTGTTTGGTAGCCACTAGCAACATGTGGCTATTTAAATGTGAATTTTAATGAATTAACATGAAATAATATTAAAAATTTGGTTTTTCAGGTTCACTGGCTAAATTTCAAGTGCTCAGTAGCCATATGTGGTTAGTGCTACTCTATTGGATAGTGAAGATTGAGAACATTTCCATTATCCCAGAAAGCTCTGTTGGACAGCACTGCTCTAGAATGTTCTATTCCCTGGAAACTTTAGAAGAATAACTAGAAACAATAAATAAAAGTAAATTAAAAAAATGAAATTGGAGCTAAATTGATAATTACTGAGTTGGCACATAGTAAATAATTATTAAATGGATTATTTTAATTTTATGGTATTCACTTTTTTAATTGAGAAAATAAGGAAATAATCCCTATTTAAACCAAGATGTTTAATACTTGCAACCATATTATCATTAAATATTAATGAACGTACCTGTTAAATAATACTTATAAACTTAAGTTGTTAGATAAAGTTTGCTTTTTTATGACATACAGTTTGGACTCTGAGGTAAAGATCCTTTAAAATTTGAAATTTTGATTATTCGTAGGAATTGCAATGCAACAAGGTACGTGAAAATCAAGTTTCAATAGAATGTGACATAACATGCAAGGAAATGAAGCGTAAAGCATCTGAGGTAATTTCTCATTAAATTTCTTTTATGTGCTAATGACCTTTACCTACTTACGTTGTGCATTTATTTATGTGCTTATTAAATACAACTTGAAATCTCATCATTTTGCTTTTGCAATAAAGGCCTAGTTTTATAGACCTATTTTGAATCCACGGAGTATTAGTCCGTTTCTGTTGCTTATAACAAAATACTCAGAACTGGGTGATTTATAAAGAAAACTGAATTCATGGCTTATAGTTTCAGAGGCTGGGAGGGCCATAGTCCAGGGAACACATCCGGTGAGGCTCTTGTGGTGGGACAATGATGGCAGGGTATCACATTGCAAAAATCATGGAGTAGAGAGAGAGAAAGACAAACCTTTTTTCTTTCTTCTTTTAAAGCCCTCAGAACCACGCCCCTGACCACCCTTTGTAATCCATTCCATACTGCACGATGCTACAATCCAACCACCTCTTTGAGGCTCTACCTTTCGATTACCATAATAGGATTTCCCACCCTCTTAAATAGTCATAGTAGGGGCTAAGTTTCTTGTATATCAAACTTGGGGGACACAATTCAGGCTTTAATGAGTTTTGGGGGGACATAATTCAGTCCACTACACACACTGCTTTTTATTGTCTAGTATGTGCCTAAGCTTTCTATCCTCTATGCCAGTTAGTGTATTTGCTCTGGGACATAGACTTTTGTTTTCATGTTTTTATTTTCAGCCTTCTGAAAATTAGATTAAATTAATACAAAAATAAAATTTGGGGATTCTTTTCTTTTTGGTTTATATCTAAGTTTCCCTCCATCAACCCAATATATGAAAAAACTCTTGATTTTCTTTTAAGCTATGGATTCCCTTCCATAGGGCATTTGAGGTAAATGGTCAGTTTCAACTCTAAGGAAACAGTGGTATTTAATAATTTATTCTAGGTTCTTAATATGTTAACAAGAGGGAAGATCCAATTTTAAAAGTACTTCACTTTACAGTGTTTTAACTCTTTGAATTGTAATATAACATCTATTATAGTTGTTAAGCTAAAACGTTTCTATTAGGTATAACATTCCATCCACCACCACTGCCAATCTATTTGATAGCGCCTTGGTAAAACTTCTCAGTATAACATTTACATTTTTTAAAAATGATTTCCAACATAAACCTCCCAGAAGTTAGTGGAGCCTACTTCGGAATATCTTAAAATTCTATATAAAATTTGATGATTAAATTGTTAATTGACTTTTAAATATATATAAACAGATAAAAGAAGCAGAAGCCAAAGCTGCTCTTGAAGAGGAAAAACGAAGACAACAGGTAACTAAAGAAAATACCAAGTTTTATGTTTCTTGATGTCAATGTTAGTTTTTGTGAAGATACAAGGTATGTTTCAAGTACAAACTAGGGGCTGGTCAATTCTATTCTGAACTGAAAATAATGTAGTTCCTATAAAACAAAAATAAGCCTTCTACTTAGTTCACTCCAGGTATACTGAATCTCTGAGAAGGCATGACATCTCATATGTTGCCAAATATTTTGTATATTCCCAATTTACTTCCTTGCCAGTTTAATTCATTCTCCAGCCGTAAGAGTTTTAACTCCTCTTTTGGTGGGGAAGTGGGAAAGAGGACATCATCATTATTGTAAGGCATCTCCTGGAGCCCGTGTCTTCACTCATCTAAAAGTATTTGAGTGTCTCACTGAGTTGCAGATCATCTGTAACAAATAAGTACTGTTTACTAATTAATACATTTGTTTTAGTAATACATTCCCTTATTTTCCCAATATGTCTTTAAATGCAGAATCATTATCTGGCATTCCTAATATACCCTGTTTGCTCAAATAATGTACTGATCATACACTCTAAAGAGTGGCTTAACTTTCTTTCTTTTTTTTTTTTTTTTT